AAAAAAAAAAAGCAATTTTTAGGGAAAATGACATTTTTTCACCGGCCGGAGATGGTGGTGCAGAGAGGTATACAGGCGATGGGAAAGGCATCCATATTTTTTCTAATTTTTTATGGAGTTTTACTTTTTTTTATTAATTTTAATTAAAAATAATTTTTTAATTTTTTATTTTATAAATATTTTATAAATTTTTTAATTATTTTTCTACGATTTTTTTTATTTTTTTTCCGAATTTATTATGAATTAAATATTTAATTAACTCATATTTAAAGGAAGGGTAAGAATGGAATGAAAAAATAGGTATGTTTCCAATAGGACTAATATGGTCCTATTTTTAAAAGAAAAATGTAGTAAGTCTTATTTGAGTTTTTGACATAGTTTTAGTCCTATTTGGAGTAATTTCTAGCCAGAATACCATCATTCAAAAGTCAAACTAAAACTTATAATTTAACTAAAATGTGATTTTAATATTAAAACTGTGACAAGTATACAAGTCTAACACAGTTTTAATATTAAAATCACATTTTAGTTAATTATCATATTACTTACATTTTAATATTGAAGTCACATTTTAGTTTTAAAATCACACTGTAGTTACATTTTTATATTAGTTACATTTTCATATTAAACTCACGTTTTACATTAAGTGACACTAGTTTTACATTTTTTACATCAAATAAAATAAAAAAAATTACACCCCGTGCAACGCACGGATTGTAATTTTTTTTTTATTTTATTTGATAGTAATTATATTATTTTCATAAATGAATGGATAACACTTGCCTTTTTATTTTTATAAAAAGTTCTAACTTTTACTTCATATTAAATGTAACATTTCAAATTGGTAAAATAAAACGGGATAAATAACGTCAATCCCGAAAATGGCGAAAAGTAAACGAACAAAGCCACACATCAAGTATCCGCTTTTCAATTATGTTGCCCTTGAATTTCTTAAATTTCTTACTCGTTGATCGAACTCTGTTTAGAAGTATTAACATGTTGCTCACTGTCTCCGGGTCTCTTTGATGTTGAAGAAGGGGTGATTTGTAATGTGTCATCTTCAGAGTTAACGCTTAAAAGTCAAACATATTTAGATAAATAAACAATAAGCACGTACTACCACGTCCCATTTTATGCGTCTCATTTGAGATTGAGAAGTAGCATGTAGTATTTGTTTGTATAAAGCAATGAACCTTATTAATAATTATTAGCCTTTTCAAAGATTGTATTTCAATACATTGTTATTTTTCTCTACCGGAACTTTTGAATTAATCAAGACATAAAATATTAACATATATAATATGGTGAAAAGATTTCTTTAAAAAAATATTTCACTTCTTTAGTATGAAATCACAATAAAATATTTCTTCAAAATCATATACTATCATATACACTTTAATTTCATCATCATTTTTTCATTCGTTTGTTTCTTTAATAAACCAGCTGACCCTTTTAAAATTCTCAACCAGCTGACCATAGTAATAGGACATTAGTTTAATCTATCCTTATTGTTATTATTATTATTATTATTATTATTATTATTATTATTAATAGATCACAATATTGTTGGTGATTTTAGTATCAACAGGTTCATTTTAGTGTAATGGAATTTACAGATTACCAATGGAGTTCAAGTTTAATTTTAGACAAGTTAGGAGGTGCGGAGCGCACACTTGTACGAAATTAAATTTAAACTTGGTTCGATTAAATGGCGGGGGTCAAGGGGACTGCGCCCCCTTGCGGGGTCCAAGGGGCAGCGCCCCTGGCGGGGGTCTCGCTGCCCGGTCAGCGAGCGGGGTCGAGGGAGGCCGCCCTCGCGGGTCATTCTATTAATTATTTAATAGAATGACTTTCTGTTAGAGTAAAACTCTAACTGATTGGCCTTATCTCTTTGGTAATCATAAGAATTCGAGTTCTACTAAAACTGCTAGTTCGTGGTCTATATATTGGTGCCTCAGTTTTAGACTGTCTCTTAGAGTGATTATCCTCGTAATCTAAATTTCGTGTAACCCAGGCATAGGGTCGAAATATTAGATTCGGAAAGTGATCACACGATACTTTGAAAAATCCGCCAGATTTTCTAAAACAGTTTCCCAACTCCCCAGTATTAACAAATATGCTTTTGAGTTTTGTTCTCCAAGATAGAACGTGATTTTCCACGATGCAACAATCATGTATTGATTCTCTTTAAATAATAAGTGATACAACAATATTTACCGAAACAATAGGATCGGTCAAAGCTAATCTAACTATGGATACGTACAAATCTATTCTACATCTACATCTGAATGGATAGGAATACGGCTGTACAACTTAGATTAACTAAAGTATACGTATAAGAAGGAAATACATAACAATAAATGAATATGGACAATATATGCTGGCTGGTGCATGGTGATGGATGTACGTGAATATGAGGATGCATGCGTCAATAGCCCCCTGCAGTGGCAACGGTAGGTTGACGGACGTTGAGACTGGAACGAAATTCCTCAAATAAAATTCGAGGTAGACCTTTTGTAAAAATATCGGCAAATTGATGACGAGACGGAACATGAAGAATGCGAACTTCGCCGCGGGCAACTTTTTCAAGAACAAAATGAATATCCAACTCAATATGTTTGGTACGCTGATGTTGTATCGGATTACCGGTCATGTAGACAGAGCTAATATTATCACAATAGACCAATGAGGCTTTGTGAAGAGGAGAATGTAGCTCAAGCAATAAATTACGTAACCAACATGTTTCAGCTACAACATTGGCCACACCTCGATATTCAGCTTCAGCACTGGAACGGGATATAGTAGGTTGGCGTTTAGAAGACCAGGATAAAAGATTGTCACCCAAGAAGACACAATAACCTGAGGTAGATCGACGAGTGTCCGGACAACCGGCCCAGTCTGCATCAGTATATGAGATAAGAGAGGAAATGGGGGATGGCCGGAGCTGCAAACCGAGATCAATAGTACCACGAATGTAACGTAAAATACGTTTTAAAGCATTAAAATGTGGTGTTCGGGGATCATGCATGAAGAGACAAATCTGTTGAACGGCATAGGAGATGTCCGGGCGGGTGAAAGTAAGGTATTGTAATGCTCCGGCAAGACTACGATAAAGAGTGGGATTATCAATGCGTGGACCATCCGTGGTACCAAGTTTGGCATCGGTGTCCACGGGTGTAGCTACTGGATTACACTGGACCATGCCTGCCCGTTGAATTATCTCCTGCGCATACTTAGCCTGGGAAAGAAATAGGCCAAAGGTGTTGCGTGTGACGGCAATCCCTAAGAAGAAAGTCAATGGTCCCAAATCTGTCATAGCAAATTCTGAGCTCAAAGTGGAGATGATGTGCTGCCGAAGAGAGTCCGTTGAGGTGGTCAAAATTATGTCATCAACATAGAGTAATAAATATGCAATATCCGAACCATTTTGATAAATAAATAAGGAATGATCGGATGTACTGTGGCGGAAACCCATGGTGGTGACAAAAGAAGAAAACCGGTGATACCATGCTCGGGGTGCCTGCTTGAGACCATATAAGGATTTGAGAAGACGGCAGACATGATGAGGTTTAGATGGGTCACGAAAACCCGGCGGTTGGTACATGTAAACTGTTTCATCAATAGTACCGTGTAGAAACGCATTTTTTACGTCAAGTTGATGAAGGGGCCAAGAGTGATGAAGAGCAAGACTTAGAACTGTCCGGATGGTGGCCGGTTTGACCACCGGACTGAAAGTGTCATCGAAGTCAATTCCCGGTTGCTGAGATCGTCCATTAACCACGAGGCGAGCCTTGTGACGTTCAAGAGATCCATCGGACCTGTATTTATGTTTGAAAAGCCACATGCAACGAATAATATTGGTGTTAGGAGGATGGGGAACCAACTCCCACGTATTATTTTTAATGAGAGCGCTAAATTCATCATTCATTGCGGATTTCCAATTTGGATCATCAAGAGCAAGAATGGGAGATTTGGGAACCGGACTGGCTGTATTGTGAGAGAGTAAGATTAAGTTGGGATTTGGGTTTAAAAATACCCGCCCGACTTCGGGTCACCATGGGGTGGGTAGGATGTGGGTTTGACTGTGGGGGCGCCGGAAGACTGGGTTGTTCATTAAGTATTGTTGTGTGAGGTGGTGGTGTCATATTGTATGGATGTGACACGTGGAAGGGTGTTTGAGACGTGGCGGTAGGTGGAGAGGAGGGAGTGGTGTGGGTGGACACAGGATCTATAATTGGGGAGGTAGTGGAGAAAATATAAGAAAGAAATGGGTGAGGGTTATCACTGTGATTAGGGGATGCTGCCGTCATAGATTTGTTGAACGGAAAATGATCCTCGATGAAAGTGACATGGCGAAAAACAATTATTTTAGTGGTGTGGGGATCATAGCATTTGTAACCCTTATGATTAGAGGGATAACCGAGAAAAATGCATGGGATGGATCTAGGGTGGAGTTTATGGATATTTTGAGTGGGTGTGTGGGGAAAACACAAACAGCCGAAAACACGAAGATGGGAATAATCGGGAGTTTTATGATATAATTTTTCAGTAGGGGAGGCAAAGGATAAAGGTGCAGAGGGAAGAATATTGTGGAGATAGGTGGCCATTTGTATGGCGTGAGGCCAGAAGGTCGGAGGCAGCGAGGCATGAAGTAATTGAGTGCGGGCAATATTATTTAGAGACCGAATTGTGCGTTCAGCTTTGCCGTTTTGAGGGGAAGTATAGGAACAAGAGAAGCGAAAATGCATGCCATATATAATTCCGTGTTGTTGGAAAGAAATATTATTAAATTCACGACCATTATCACATTGAAATGTTTTAATGGGACGTTCAAACTGCGTGCGTATATATTTATGAAATTGCACAAAAACAGAAAATGTCTGTGATTTATGTTGTAGGGAAAATACCCAAAGAAATTTAGTGTAATCATCCAGAAACTTAAAATGGGTGAAGTCCATAAATCACTATGAATTATTTCAAAGGTAGTAGATGCAGAAATAGGAAAAGAGAGTTTATTATGTTTCCCAAGTTGACACGAAATACAACCAGAAGAACGAACTTTATTACAACTCAGAATATGATTAGTTCTAAGATGATGAAAAACAGGGTCGTCAGGATGTCCAAGGCGATTATGCCAAATATTTGCTGAAACGGCCAAAAATGAAGATGCTGAAACTGACGGAGTGCAAAATAAGGGATATAAGTCGCCTGAGCTGTTACTCCTCATAACTGGGATGCCCGTTCGGAGATCCTTCACAGAAAAACCAAACGGGTCAAATTCGACAGAAACGTGATTATCAGAAGTAAAACGACGGACAAAAATTAAATTTTTAATTAAATTGGGAGAGTGAAGTACGTGATTAAGATGAAGTGGGGGGTGTGGAGATGGTAGGGTAGTGTGACCATGACCCAAAATGGGGATTTTAGATCCGTTTCCAACAATGATATGATTATTAGCATTCGCACAAAAATAAGACGGAAGGATACCTTGGTTCGCCGTCATATGAGAGGTAGCACCAGTGTCAAAATACCAATTAGGATCCGGAGGTGTGAGACTCATGGTGTGCATGGCAGAGGTAATATTCGTGGGCTGAGCATGGCTAACAGTGTGAGCTTGATGAGGCCTGGCCCCGAGAATACCGGCCGCAGGAGATGGCCGTGGTTGATAACTAGACTGACCGGAAGTAGTTGGATAAGGACACGGAGGTACTGCCCAGGGTTGCGGCATCCAGTACTGCCATGGTGGTGGGGTCCAAGACCCAGGCGGTCCTTGAGTGCTAAAGGGAAAAACTGCAGGTGGTGGGGCATTGGAACGGCCATTCGAGCGTCCTGGGCGTTGATTTGATCTGGAGCGACCATGTGACCAGGTTGGACGTGCGGCAGGAGGCGCTGGCTGAGCAGGAGCGGGGGTGGATACGACTAGTGCTGCAGCAGGTGAGGAGGCGATCTGATAGGCCATCCGGGTTTCCTCCAGGATAAGCATGGACCTGGCTTCATAAAACGTGGGCAAGGGTTTCGTTTGTTGTATGAAGGAGGCGACCGTGTTGTATGGCTCGGAAAGGCCATTAACAACACGTAATACTAATCGCTTTTCGTCGACTGGGGACCCAACATTACTGAGTTGAGTGGCCAGAGTCTTCAAGGCTTTGCAATAAGTGGTGATGCTCGGAAAACTCTCCAGTCAGGTGTTGGAGAACTGGGTCTCGAGATGAATAGCCCGGGAGTGTTTGTTATCGAGAAACAGATCAGCAATGCGTTCCCACGCCTCCTTGGCCGTGGCATCGGGCTCAATAATAGTGTGCAAAAGTTTATGAGAAATTGTACCGTAAATCCATTGGAGGACAACGGCATCAAGGCGATTCCAAAGAGATGTGGATTCGGCTTTGGCGCCGGCGGCGGCAAGAATCTGCTCTGGAGTAAGATCTGGAGGTGGAGCAGTTGATGTGGAGGCAGCGGCCGGAGTAGGGAAGATGTGATCCTCAACCTGATAAGCTCAGGTAGTGATCTTAAATAGCTCGGCCCATGAAGAATATTCGACATTCTCCATGTCCAGCGTTATGGGAATAAAATTTTTGATGTTGGTGATGGCAAGAGCTGGGTGAAAAACGGGAGATTTTTGAGAGGCCATTGGAGAAGAAAACTAAACTGGCTCGGATACCAAGATAGAACGTGATTTTCCACGATGCAACAATCATGTATTGATTCTCTTTAAATAATAAGTGATACAACAATATTTACCGAAACAAAGGGATCGGTCAAAGCTAATCTAACTTTAAATCTATTCTACCTCTACATCTGAATGGATAGGAATACGGCTGTACAACTTAGATTAACTAAAGTATACGTATAAGAAGGAAATACATAACAATAAATGAATATGGACAATATATGCTGGCTGGTGCATGGTGATGGATGTACGTGAATATGAGGATGCATGCGTCAATACTCCACGCAAGTTAGATATTCATGTGAGCCTTTAGCATCTGCTTTTGGGTTTTTGTTCTCCATACAAGTCAGATCACTAATCTTGATTGCACTAAACTGCCAAATATGTAGATACACATCACTTAAGAGATGTGTATCTGCTGTAAACATGGATGTATAGTAGGTAGTAGGCTTTAGATGAGCACATAACTCCTATGCACATTGAGTATTATGTAAAAAGTAAAAACTGCCTCATCGATGATGTTTTTTGTATCATCATTGGTTGAAATGTGTTTATGTTGTTTTCTTGATTCTTGGCAGAACACTTGAGAGGTGATCCTGCTTTTAACAAAAATTGAATGGATTTACTAACGGGAGAAAAAGAGCTCACAAACTGGATGGAGATAGTCACTGTAGTAATGTAAGTTTAAAGGCTAGATTAGTACATTCTTCTTTTTGAAGCACACTAAATTTATTACAGGCCTATGGAGGTGAGCTATATTTTCATAAATTTTAACAATATTTCTATCTACATCTATGGTTTACATTTACCAAATGAGAATGCATATAGTTAGTAATTCAAACAAAACTGACGCCATAGACTAACATATGCAATGATGATAAGTTAGCAAAGTTGAGTGTCAAAAAAGGTATGAAACTTAGGGGCATTGTAATGTTTTGGTCAAACTTACAAATAATGATGTGTCAGGTGGTCTTCCTTGTGGGATTGACATTGTAAAAATGTACTTGTGTTTTATGTATTCCCTTTTTGATAATTTTTTCCAGTTAAAACAAATACACAAGGCTCAAAATCTCGGGATAGAAAAGAATTAGACTCCTTAATACACAAATTTCTGAACAATTTTTCAATGTCGCCCCTTGTGAACATACATAATGTGCACAAATATTCGATTAAGTGATATTATCATACCTATAGCACGAAAAAAGTTTGCCCTTTTAATATCATGCATAACATTCCATAGCTTGTTTTTAACTAAATCCTGGTGAACAATAAAAAGTTTATACATACTAATTTCATTGGAAGCAAGAAATTCAGAGTATTTCATTCAAAGAATACACTTTTCGTTGACACAAGTGTTTAGTTGATGTTTTAACCTTTTATTTTAAGAAAAATGAAAACAAACAAAAAAGTTAAGCATTGAATTAGATGCAAAAGTTCCCTTCTAAGACTATACTTTTCGTATTTTAAAACTATGCTTCAATCACCTCTAAAACCTGGAAAAAAATTGACCTCTATAGTCTAAAGAAGATTTGCTATAACTGTTATTTGATTTCTCTTGCTTACCAACATTTTTAAAACAGTTTAGAGTACATGGCTTTGTAGTCAAATACCAGATAGGGACATGAATTATAGATGGTCTTATTCAAAATAAAAGACAACCTAAGATATGTTCATTGAGAACAAAAAAAAACAATGTCACTTTTACATCAAGAAGTAGTGGATCTTTTTCAAGAAAATAGAGCTGAATTTTATTTTGACTTCAATATGCATAAAAATGAGATGTAAGGGAGACATTACTAAATATGAATTATAAATAATAGTGAAACCTAAGACAACCCAGAAATCTGCTGGTCTGTCTTTTGGGCCTTTTCGGGATGGGCCAGAAAATTTAATTTGGGCCAGTTCGGCCCAGTTGCAATAAAAATTAAAAATAAAATAGTAAATGAAATAAATAAAATCTGGAAAAATATAAATTAAATACCTAGTATAAATATACATATTCTTACCAACCAGAATTGGAAAATAATATTTTTAGCTATTTTTAATTGATTTAATTGTAATTGGGCCAATTTATACACATTTAGTAAATAATTAACTAAATAACGAAAATAATTATGAAATAAATATTGGAGTAAACTAGGATAAATACATGACTAACTAGGACCTTATGGACCATTTATAATTAATAAAAATAAGGTTTAGTATATTTAATTGTAATTAAACCGGTTAATAGATATATGAAATTAAGGGAATAATTATGGAAAATAATTATAAAATATATATCTGGACAACCTTGGTCAAATATAGACCCAAAATATAGTTTTAGACGGTTATTAATTTATAAAGTCGATTCTTAGTCTATTTATTTAAATTAGGCCATATAAAACTAGTTAAGTAATTAAATAAGGAAATATTAGTATTAATGGTGAAATAAATAAATCACTGAGGTTGAAAAAAAATATTCTGGACTAAAAATAATGTTTGAATAAAATAAGGAAAATAAATATTTTCGGTTATGTAAATAAAGTAATTAGATAATAATTAGAGAAAATTAATGGTGATTATTGAATAAAAATTGGATGTAGTAGTTAATTATATTCGGATATTTTATTTCAAATATTGAAAATTAATGGAAGAAATTAATAAGGAAATTTTATTAATAGAAAGTGAGTAATCAAATAATTCGGATAACTAATGAATTAAGTTAATAAATTCGAATAATAAAATAAAAGGAGAAAATCGGGTAAAGTAATTACAAATAGAATAAGTGACTAATTTTATCATCTTAATTAAAAAGGTGATTATCTAGAGACCGGATTAGAGGAAGATAACTAGGAGCATCAGGACTTAAGGTAAGTTTCTCTGCCAATCCAAAATTGTTTCCTCGTATTATATGCTTACTATGCATTATGTGATTAAGTGTAAATTTTAAATGTGTACTATTTTGGATGACTAAGAATTTGTGAAATATTGGAGATATATTTTGGGATTTAATCCCTAGTATGACTTTGGAGTGAATTTTTATGTAAAAGAATTTTGGAGTATTTATGAATGTGAATTTTTGGTGGACGTATCTATTAAATAGATATTCTGTAGGACTATATATAGAAAGATGATTTTTCAAGGAATAATGTTTTTCAATAATTATTGACATCTCGAGAGAAACACGAGGTGTGGGTGGTTAGAGCTATATACCGCGGGTTTAGTTGGTGGCGGGAGAAATCCCGGTAAATATTGGTGGCGGGAGATTCCCGGTATTTCTTTTGAGAACTTTAAAAGTTCTTTGGTGGCCGCGGTAGTAGTTTCTAATTACCCGGGTTTCTAACCCATTGTGAGGTAGGGGGACGTTGTCCGAACTACTTGGACTTCTTACTACTCGGAGGGCTTGGAATCCCTTTTAGGGGGTGTGCACACTTAAGGGTGAAGTTCAGTTTCCAATTGGTGGTCGGTGGGAGCCGGAATTCCGGGATGAGTCGTACGCAACAACGATTCATTGGGCTCGAGGAATCTTGAGTTTCGCCCGTCTTAAAAGAATCTGAAAGTGACATTGATTTCGGAATGGTGATATTTTTAGCTACAAAAGTTATTTTTGAAAAGTGATACTTCTTTTGAGATATTAATTAATTGTTGGGAGCTTATAAATATTATTCTTAATTATAAGGGTATTTGAGATTGTTGATAAATAATGTTTTGAAAAGAATTTCGGTGGTGTGAGTATTTTTATATATAGTATTATATGAAAAACTATTTTTGACAAACTTGATTATTTTACGGGGTTGGGTAGTACTTACTTAGCTCTAAAGCTAATTTTTGTTTCCTTTTCTTTGTTTCGTTTTCTACACTTTATTTGTGCAGGTAATGATGAATATGAAGCTCATGATGTTTGACGAGTCTTGAGAGCGCTTTATAAGATTTAAGTGTAGTCTTCACTTAGTTTAAATAATGTTGTTAAATTTTGAATTTAAGTTTTTAATTCGGTTGAACTCATGGTGGATAGCCTTAACATCCAGCCAAGTTGAGGGCTGGGTGTGGCGGTAACACACCCTTTTTCCATTATTGTTATTTCCGCTGCAAAACTCTATCTATTTTTAAGGAATAAATCAAAGTTGTTATCAATATATTATTATTTCAAATATTATTTTGGGCGGGAAAAATGGGGGTGTTACAAATTGGTATAATTATATCAACTTCGAACTCCTGACGTGGTGGATAGCAGTATCATATCAAACCATCCAAGCCAAAGAGGAGCCGGTAGTCAAAAAATTGACCTCTATAGTCTAAAGAAGATTTGCTATAACTGTTATTTGATTTCTCTTGCTTACCAACATTTTTAAAACAGTTTAGAGTACATGGCTTTGTAGTCAAATACCAGATAGGGACATGAATTAT